AGTTATTTGGAAATCTGTGAAATAGACTGCTTGAGAACTGAACTTGCTGTTGAAGGCACCAGTCCCAAAGATCATTTCACAGGGAAGTCTTGCTCTTCCTTTCCTTTTTTTAATATCACTTGAAATCACAGCACTATGTAGGGAAGGAATTAATGACTGGTAGGACGTTTTTTTGCTAACACATAATTGTTTTCAATGAGAAATTACTGACCATTTGCTCATCCCCTCATTATCATTTGAGGTGGACATGAAACAGCATCACATTACCAATATTGCCACTGCTGGGTAGACAATATCAAGAAATTAGACAGAAGCCTTTGAGAGGATGGGGGTCTCTGAAAAGCGGGGTAAGCCTTTAGTTTTCAAGTCCATCAGTTCCCCTGCCCTATGTGCCTAAGAACACTTTCTCTGGTGTTCCCTGGCGATCATAGTAATAATGAAGAAAGAGGGGTGACTAACAAAGAAAATTCACAGAGAATACTGAATATGCTTGTGAGCACAGTGAGAAGGAGGATTCCCAGGGCAGGACCTGTCACAAGGATTCTGCTGGTTCTGGAATACTGACTGAAGCTCTAGCTGCAGATCTGCAGAGAACTACCTCTGATCACGCAACATGTGGGGACCTCACCATGTGCTGAAGATATTGTCCAGACAGGATGAAAAGAAAAGGCTGGTCTTAGAGCTGAAGAACCCTGTTTCTAAAGATTAGCTGCAGTCCAGACACTTTGCTGGTAAGTATTTCTGGAGAAAAAATTCCCACTTATTGAATGTTAACACCTTAAGTCATGGCAAATGAAGGTTTTCCTGAGGTGAGAAAATGTCTCTCACAAGACAAGCAGTGTTTAAAACCCTCTAGGGGATCACGTGGTAAGCAAAAAATAAGGAAGAAAAGTTAGAAGTGTCCGGGGGTGGGGGGAGGGAAGGGGGGAGAAATCATATGCTTGAAAGTCAGGGTTTCACGCCTGAAAACTAACAAATAAGGCGTGAGGAAAAGAAATAACTAACGAGGACAACATGGTAAAAATAGGAAATAGTACTAAGAAAAAATAGAGGGGAAAGGCTACTGAAGGTTCAATGTTAATTGAAAACTGCTTCCACTAGCACAAAAGGCACTCCAGCTTAGCAGAGTTATGCGGTGTTCTCTTTCTTTATACAGAGGTAGAAGAAAAAAAGGGAAATTACATCTTGCTACGATTGAATAAAAGTTCTGGCCTGAATGCCTGCAATATAAATATTCATTAACGGAACATACTCAAAAGGAGAAATATTCTCCTCCCCAGATGGAGGTGTCAGAAACCAGGGCCAAGAACAAACTCCATCGGTTAGATTTCATATGTGGTACTGAGATTCTGTGTACAGGGAACAGCTGCATAAAATGAAAAAAAAAGATTGGTCAATAGATGTGAACAAAATGAGGAGGTTACATGCACACAAGAGAACTATTTATCCGTCTTCTAACAATAGCACAGCTGCACAGCGCTATCAGTTGTATGTTGGAATGCTATAGCCTTACATACACTAACATATACCAACTCAGGCAATACTGGAGTACTAATGTATCTGCAATATTGCTCAAAAAAAATGGGTAAGCATTTCTCCAAAGCAGATACAATTGGAAAGCAAGAAATACAGGGAAGAATGGCTAAGAAACTAAAACAGGTGGTGGTGTTGTCCAGAGAGTTTCTGTTGCCGCAGTGCTAAGAAAAGCTGTCAGAAGACAGATCTTTTTATGAAGTTAGAGAAGATTGGGAATAGACAGGGGGGAGAAAAAATTACTTACTGGCAATTTTCTATGTTGTATCAAGACAGACTGATGTGTTTTCATGCTCCAGGGAGAAAGGCAAGGACTATCACTCAAAGCAGAAATAAATATTTTGTCCTTTCATCTCTGCTTCTTTTAAAGGTCAAAAAATTTCTCAAACTGAACAATTAAAAGCAACACATCAAATAAACTATGAAAGGATTGAGAATTTGTATGGAGACACATAGCAGCTATTGCTGACATACTGATGTAAAGCTCTTTTCATTTTATATTAAAACACAGGAAAACAGAATTCCTGTCATTCAATAGGTATTGTTTCTGCAGGTATGTCCTACCTACACAGTGCTGTTCAGGCTGAAAAGCCCTCCAGAAGTCACCTAGTCCAACACCCCGCTCAAAGCAGATCCAATTAGTCGAGTTATTAGTATCTCCAAGAATGGAGATCTAACAACACACGTGACAAAACTCTACACTTCGCTTTTCAAAAAACATTTCTAAACAATGTTTTTTGGTATCATTTGAAGTACTGGAGGCTCTAATTCCATCAAAGTGTTCCTTGCCCATATCATATCAGAAGAAAGATTAAGAACAGTTGGTCTTGAGAGTCATAATGGCAGGAGACCATTGGCAGGAGAGGAAAACCTCTCTATTTGAGGGCCAGTAATTGAAAAATCTTAGAAGCAGAAATGACTAAGTGCTAATCAGGTCAAAGACCACTCATTTAAATTTGCGTAACTTTATGGTCAAAAGCAAAAGCAGCTTTAAACAACATGAAACCCTACCAGAACACTCAGTTTCTGCTCTAAGAGTGATGCCTCATTTCGTCTACAACTTAAAGGCTGATTCTCAAATATACACATTATCCACAGAAAACAAAAAAGGAAGGACTGCAGAGATGGTTGCCAGGGGACTGCTGTGAAACCATGCCCGCTGGCTGTGACTCACAGGCAACTTCTAAAATTTATCTGCATGTCAGCAGGCCTCGCTGTACACTGGTAAGAGTGACACAGCACGTGAAGCATGTGAGGAACAAAATTCCTATGCCAGAACTCCCAAATCCTTTTGAATTTGTATTGCTGCTAGCACAAACAGGCAGAAAAGCTTAAAAAAAAAAACCCAACCACAAAACAAATCTGGAACAAAATACTTTCACAGGTACTCATACCTTTGTAACACGATCTCTATTTTTATAGAGCAGTCCTTAATGTTGCTGCGAAATAAGGATTATTTGCAAAACATGTTCTATTTAATTTTTTTTGTTGAAAACATACACAGTATAAACCAAAAGCTTGCTTCAGCTGGTATAAACCCTGCCAGTAGAAAACCTACAAACACCATGATACTATCTGGAGGGAAGAACAAAAGATTGAAGTAACAGGTCCTGCCCATCAGTGTTTAACTTATAAAAAATTCTGACTGATCTATTCTGGGCTTGCTGTTGCACAGTAAACTAGTGCATTTTCCCTCCTCTTTTACCCTCCTTGTCATTTCCAACATTGCATGCCTTTTTGACCACTACTGAGTCATAAGCTCATGACAGAAACTCCTGTAAAGTGAAACCAGCTAATGTAGGGCTCATCCCTATGTATGCACGCTTCAAGTAGAACCACATTCCTTTTACAGAAAAGGAGTTTACATAATTATTGTTATATTCCCTTGAAAGTATCTCTCTAACTGTGCTATACATTAGGCAAGCCATATAACAAATGCGAGAGCATTCAGTAAGTGTTCTTCAATACTTTTTTTCTCCCTTAATTGAGGTCTTCCTGTTCTGGTATTGCTTTGTCCTGACCTCCTCCTGAGCAGTTGTACACACAGTGTCAGGCATAAGCTCTGTATACCAAGGAAACATAGCAAAGGCAGCTGAATCTCAATAGGTAAATACTGTGACCATGATGTTGAGTTAGAAGTTGATGTTCTTTAAAATTGAAAAACCAAGTGATTTGTGGAGTTTTTTAAGGTCAAATGAACCTTCCAAATGAAAGTATCAAATGTAAACTTGGAATGCCACCTATGAAAGGAAATTCTCCTAGATGGAGTATATAATCACATAAGAATTTTTAAAACAAGCAAACTAAAGTAAATTAATACAGTATTATTAAGAGTGACCTGGAAGGGGAGGCTAGTACATGAGTGGCTAAGTCTGAGAAGGGCTTTTGGCAGAATGAAGCAAACCACAGATGGTGATCATATACTGCATCCTAATCTGATACGCTCTTGGTTCACTGAAAAGGATTTAAATAGTTAAGTTATTTTCCTTGCTGTTGCAGCAGCTATACTAATAATGTTCATATTTATGTGCTATAAGTCTTCCTGTCTTGATTGCATAATTCAGTGTCCTCAATTAAAGTCTTCAACCTAATAGTACCCTAACAGCTTTGAAAGGCTGCTAAAACGGAGTCACCATACAATATACCAAACCAATACTAACTAAATCTAGTTGACAAATTAGGCTACATCACCTAACACCCTAAGATACTGACGGAGGTGCAAGACTTTTCACATTGTAGATATATATACACACACGTTTTAATATTTAATGTGTTGGTAGTCTTACTGATGTCCTAGTGGTTAAAAAGCACCTGTAGTATTGGAAATTCAAAACGCTATCACGCTGGTTCATCTGACAATTTCTTAAACTTGCTGTAACTTAAAGAAAAAACAACACAGAAACCAGCCTTTTCAGAATATCTCCTCCAGAGCTTGAGAAGCATTCACGTCTCTCAAATGCACCAAGGGAAAAATCGTTGACAGAAGGGGAAAGGAAGAAAAATCTTTAGCTGTTTGAAATACCATGTAATAACTACATTTCTGGGTTTATTATTTTAAAAGGCAACTACTTTTTTTTTTTTGCTGAATGACCACAACATGATCAAGGGTTTAAGTTAAGAGAATTGAGCAACCAGTGATATCTTCCTCATTATGTCATATTCCCTACTCAAGAATTGCTCTAAGGTTAGCAATTACTGACTTCATTAACTACCAGATACCTTTTTCTGTCATGTTCCACTAGTAACAGAAATATATGGCTGAACAGTTTTTAAGATGTGCTGCTGGAAAGATTCCTAGCTTTCTTTCACAGAAGTCCATGCTAGTCAGTACCCACAAAAGGAGTACACTCAAGGCTCAGCCACAATTTTCTACCGAGAATTTCAAAAGGTGTTCTTATTTCAAGCACAAAAACTGTGACTGTAAAATATATTAGTTCTAAATACAGCTATTAGGACAAAGTACTTACTTAGGCTACTCAGTTGTCTGATTATATTTGCCAAGGAGATATTGGTGACACATTCCAATTCATTCTTGATACCTCGAGGCAGAGCTGTGTGGCACAGATGCCTGGGGTCTATGTTCCTTTTTACCAGCGGCATTCTGAAATGTATCAGAGGACCAGCAAACCTGTAAAGAAAGGAGACAAAACACTGTTATAAGTCTAATGATGTTTTAAATTCAGATTACATCTAAAGTTAAATTGACTAGTCCTAACAAGGTAAAAATACCTCCACAGTACCGATGGAATTCATTGCTCTGAGTACATAAATCTTTTCTTCTTTGCCCAACGAAAGACTATTTCATTCTCTCTCTTTAAACCTTTACCTGACTCAGATGCCAGTGAAGTGACAAATAATTTTTTACAGTTCATGCTTTTTTCTTTTTCCCCCTGAAAAAAAAGACAGGAAAATCTTTGCAGTACAAAAAAGCTGAAGAATGATTTCCTTCTAGATGGACTACTTCCTTATTCAGGCCAGGCAAAGTCCAACAACAAATTCCCTTTATTATGAGGTCAAAGTCAAACTAGTTGCCTATTCCACCTGAAAAGCAGATATGACCCATTCATTATATAATGGCATGTTACTACCAGCAGTCCTCCTTCAAGTCTAAACATCACTTCTAAATCATACCTAATCAAGGTAAGAAAAGAGAAGATGTTTCCCTTCCACCTACACTGCTACCGGCACTAAATTCAGCTAAGAAAGCATCTTCCAAATACAAATGTCCGTAGTAAACTTGTAGTGCAAAGTCCTTCATGATTCAGAAATCCCACCCCTCCACACCTTTCCAAATCCACATACGTTAAATTAACCACTAGTCTTTACTATTTCTGCAGACAGTGTAAGAATCATCTCAGGCTGTGAATCCCAGGCTTGTAATTTTCTGCACCCACAGCACTGATTGGAAGGAGTTTCCCAGGGGGCAAGTTATGCCTCTCATCTCATTAGTACTGCTTATTAAGACCTGTCTACTAAAACTTTTCTTCATGAAAAACGGATTCCCTAAAATTCTGTAATTTTTCCATCATCTGTCATGTAAAACTCTGAATGGCCAATTCAAAACTCCCATTTGATACACAGTGAATGGATACACTTGGTGTTGTAATAACTTCCCTTCCCATTGCAGAAGGGATTACACTTTCTCCACATGGTGAGGCAGACAAGTTTTCCACAATGCAACCTGCAGTTCTAGCCCCTCAACCGGACAGCCTGCCACAGCTTCATCCATCCTCTGCTTAGAAGCTTTATCCCAAAGTATTCCCAGGACACAGTTAGGGCTTCACGTTGTGTGACAGAATCTTCCCTGCAGTATATATTTAGTCACTGTCATCTTTACTTGGTTGAAACGGAGACATTTTTTGGATAAGAATAACGTAGGGCCACGATGCTAGAGCTGAAATTTTGCTGACCTAGAATGGCATAGAGGAATTAGAAGAGTCAAAGAGACTGTAACGCGGTATCTTCATCTCGCAGACTGCTTAGATTTCTCATTGCCACTTTTCCTGGGAGTATATTCTTTCACTGATGCCAGGGCTCACGGCTGAGGGACTCAGGCAGGATCCTTAAGTCTACAGGAGACACACCTCTGTGTTTCCAGGATCTGATTAGACTTCATTCATTGCATTTTAACACCATGTCTACTGCCCTTATTTTCTTGAGAGATCAAAAATATTTTATGGCTTTTGAGGGATAAGAACCAATGAAAATAATTTTTCTAGTCACTGGCTTAAGGGAAAGGTTATACAGTTCTTAAAATTTTGTAATTTAGTTTCTCAGTGTTAACAATAAAATTATGGAAGTGTGCATGGGGCAGGGGTAAATTATAAGAACAGACTTCTGTTTTTATTTTCTAGCAATATCCCAAATCGTCTAGTCCCTAAATACTTGAGTGCTAAAAGCCAGCCGGTGCATACCAGCTAAATGAAATAAGAAGTGCAAATCTCAATACTGTCTCAGATAGAAGCAATGAGAAAGTGTTTATAGTTAAAGTGAGACTTTATACCTGCTGGTACAAGACACAGGTGTAGCATGAAGCAAGGGAGATCAGACAGGCCCCATCAGCAGAGCTCCTGCTGTCTTAGGAGTACACAACCCCTCTACCCCAGTGACAAGACCCTGAAGAAACCCTTAACTACAGGTTTGTTATCATGGTTCCTCAACAGAAAATAAAGGAACCACTCTGTCGCTGTAAAAGAAACACAACAAATGATACGACAGCAATGTTCTACAGAAGCAATTAAATATTAATTCCAGAGTTAAGCCCTTTCTTGATTACTGCTTTAATGATACTGTTGTATAAACAGCACAGTAGGCAAGTCTTTTAAAGAGGTGCAAACACGCATGTAAAGAAACGTTTTCACAGAAAAAGTAAAAATCTACATATAAAAGAAACTTAGAGTCCTCCTTTTTTTCTTTCTTTCTTTCTTACATAGATCTGTGTTATAAAGGTTAAAAAAATCTGTAAATAACAGGCATAAAAGCAGTTGATGGCTAGTGCACTTTTTCTTTTAACTTATATAATCAAGATGTTAGTAAGTGATATTACTCTCCCTTCTTGATCTTCTATCATTCATGAAAAAACTTGGCCAATTTACAGCATGTATAGATCATAAAGCTTCAGATGTCCAAGTGACAGATTCTTTAGAAAACTGTGTGTAATAGCAATTGAAAAAAAAATATCTTAAAAGTAATTACAGCCAACTGCTAGCTAGATTTTACATAACAGCGTTTGAGTGTATACTGCCCTTCAGTGGTCTGATTTGTCTCTAAGATAGAACACTTAACAAAATAGCTGAAAAGACACAGTATTGGCCCAAACATTTTATCCAACAGGCATAAAAAGATGTTACACAAGTAGAGATTAAGCTTGAACTCCATGGACCTCAAAATGTATAACTCCGAAGCTGAATCAAAGTCCATTTAAGACACTAGAAATTTTCTTGCATTGACCTCTCTGGAATTTTCAGAAAATATAGTCTTTGACCTTTTTTCTCCCCCCAAAATCCACAAATACCATTTTCTTATATCTGAACAACACAGCTGTGGCTGTCCTATCTAAAGATACAGTATAACAAGAAAAGGCAGCAGAGGCAAGTATGGTAAAAGGTATAGTTTTAAAACAAGAATAAACTTTGAAAGGAAACAACCAATAAAAGATAAGTGACACCTTCCAAATTTCACATCATGTTTAAAAACTACGCAAAGCCCGAACAGAGAATATTTCCTGGTTTCCCACAGAAACAAGAACAAGGAGGCAATGAAGGCAAATATCACTCAAACACGCTTAAAACAAAGGAAAAGGCATTTCACACAATGTTTAATAAATTGTGGAACTCATTGCCACAGGACACTGTATACAACAAAAATACCTGCCAGTAATTTGTCCATCACAGACCACATATTCTTTGCAGTTTGTTGCAACCACTAGAAGATCTTGATGATTTCCTCCCCAATTGTATTTAGTGATCCCAGCACAGGAAGCCCTTGTTCATGAAACAGGGGTGCAACAGCAAACTGAACTTTACTGTACCCAAACAATTTCTTCAATCATATAAAAGAGTGAAGAACTAATGCAGTTCTTATCAAGAAAGCAGAAAAATTTTGAAATCGCTATCATTATTATGCAGCTTTAGAACTGTGAAAGAGGAAAAAACAAAAAAGGCATTGTTACAATCTAGTATATCCTTTAGATTAAAAGTAAAAAAAAAATAAAAATACACACACCTCCACCCCCTGCTCCCAAACCATACATTACCCAAGCCACTTATGCAGCAAAGGAAAAATGCATTCCTAAATAAAATCCTGTTACCATGCTGCTCCCAAGTAATCCCTGGAAACTGTGCATAACCCCAACCAGGCAGGAGAGAAAAGCAGCTTGTTAGTGCATAAGAGGATCCCTAGGCTGAAAGAAAGGCTACATGACACCTCCTCAGAGGCTTTCAGTTCTCCTCCTGTCGCACAGGTCTCCCCGCTCTCCCTCCCCTCAGCCCCATCACTCCCCAGCTCAGAATCCAGGGGAAGGGAAGGCAATCCTCAAACACAAGCATCTCCTCTTCCCTACTGTCCCATACAAATCCTTGAAGCAATTCTTAAGAAGCAGCATTAGTTTACACTCGAGTTATCTGGAAGTGCTTTACTCTATAGCGATCTTAAACCAAAACTCCTCTTATCAAAGAGACGCCGATCTCTTTTGCAGAGCCACTATTGAAAACTCTTCTCCCTCACTTCCTATGCATCTTCTGAAGTGCTCTGAATCCACTTGAGAAGCCAACTATAATCTTCTTTATAAACCCCTCTGCTACTTCAGCTGCACAATGGCTGGCACAGCCTCATCCCCCCCCCACATGCTGCGAGTATGAGTGCAGAATACGAACACGTGTACATACTGAGTATCGCATGTTTTCAATCTCTCATGCTTTGATACATCATTTTTTAGGAATTAGGTAAAACGATCCAGTTGGGTTTTTTAATTAATTCCTATTACTTAAAGAACTGCAGAACAATGGCACTAATGAAAGTTAATTATTACCTTTTTAGAAGAATAGCCTTAATGAGATTTGACCACACTTCTTTTCAAAAGGCAAGTTTAGTGTGCTGTACAGCCTTCTTCAGCTACTAGGGGCCTTATGGGTGATACTCTTCTGTCTCCGTCTCCTATTTCTCAAACACCACTGGCAGCAGCTGAGAAACCTGCTCTCGGGGCACCTGTCCCCATGCCCACATGGCAGAACCCCCAGGAGCAGCGCTGCTCCCACCAGGACACTCTCACCCCACTGCTGGTGCCAAGAGAAGGCCCTGGGGAGCAGTCGGTGTAGGAAACGGCGATCGTTTTCCCTTCAACACGCTCACGTAGAAACATCTCAGAACTGCAAGATGTGTGGAGAAATGTTACATTATTAGTAGCTTGTGAAAAATCTGAAATGTCAGTTGTCACAGTAATAGTTCAGGTTTTCTAGCAATTACAGTATGGCAAGTAGGAATGAAAGCACAACATTGAGGCCAGGCTGGATGGGGCTTTGAGCAACCTGGTCTAGTGGGAGGTGTCCCTGACCATGGCAGGGGGGTTGGAACTCAATGATCTTCAAGGTCCCTTCCAACCTAAACCATTCTATGATTCTGTGG